AGTTTCTTGAAGGAACATGGAGAAACAACGCTGTGACATTTGAAGTTAGGTCATGCATCAACAAAATCTATGCAGCATAATTCATAATTAAAGAATAAGACACAAGCTGGAGAGCAGAACAACTGTGAAGTATGTCCTTAGGCAGTGTCCACTACAGTTTCCACTTAGTAGCACTAGATCAAGTAGTTGTTTTCAACTCGTACACATGGATGTTTGGGGACCTCATAAGGTACCTACATATGACAGAAAACTTTATTTTGTTACAATGGTAGATGACTACAGCAGGTTTACTTGGGGGTGCTTAATACAGTCTAAATGTGAAGTAGTGGTTGTAATAAAGAACTTTCTTGCAATGATAAATACTCAGTTTGAAGCTACTGTGAAGATCATTAGGTCAGATAATGGTACCGAGTTCTTCAACTCTCAATGCAGTACTTTATTTGTTTCTCTAGGAATCATACATCAAAGTAGTTGCCCATACACCCCACAACAAAATGGGATAGTTGAACGAAAACATAGGCATATATTGGAGGTTGCAAGAGCCTTGAAATTTCAAAGCTCAATTCCTAGGAGATTCTGGGGTGAGTGTGTAAGAACTGCAGTATATTTGATAAACAAACTGCCTACTAGTATTTTGCAAGGAAAATCTCCTTATGAGTTATTGGTTGGAAAGCCAGCAAAAATAGACCACTTAAGGGTGTTTGGTTATTTATGTTATGCAAGTAACTTGCCTAAAGGTGATAAGTTCACAGTTAGAGCAAAGAGGGTTGTCCTTATTGGCTACTCAGAAACACAAAAGGGTTATAGGTTGTATGATCTGGAAAATAGAAGTGTTTTTGTTAGCAGAGATGTGGTTTTTAGGGACCAAGTCTTTCCTTTTGAGAAAACTTCTGATTCAAACTGTACAGAGGATATATTTCCTTCTCAGCCTTCAGTTGTGGAAGTAGATAGACACCAACCACCTGCACCTGTGGTTCCTACCACAACCTAGAACATGCACATGCCAGTTGCTGAAAACATCACTATAGAAGTGGAGAATGCTAATATGGACTTAGTCACAGATCATGTAGAGTATGGTGAAAACCATGAGACTGCAGCTAATATGGACTCAATCGCAGTTCATACCAAATGTGATGAAGATCATGAGACTCCAGCTGATGCCCCAATAAGTGAGAATCTTATTCCTGCTAGTCTTGAACTAGAAGTTGAGACAACAATAGAAGCAGCAGGAACAGAAGAAGTACACTCACAACCAGCATCTATAGAAGTAGAGACTAGGAAGTACAGTCGACAAGGAAGGCCTTCTGTTTGGCTTAAGGATTACATCACCAATGCCAAGACACACACTAACACTGTGTATTCCATCTCCAATGCTCTCTCTTATGATCATCTGTCCCCTACATACCAGTCATACCTCAATGTTTTTTTAGTTTGACTGAACCACGGTCCTTTAAGGAAGCTGCAAATGATCCAAGATGGATTGAAGCTATGGACCAAGAAATCAAAGCACTTGAAGAAAACCATACTTGGGAAGTAGTAGATTTACCAGAAGGGAAGAAACCAATTGGTTCTAAATTGGTGTTTAAGATCAAATATAAGTCAACTGGTGAGATTGACAGATTCAAGGCACGCCTAGTAGTAAAGGGATACACCCAATAAGAGGGGTTGGACTATCATGAGACATTCTCACCAGTTGCCAAAATGGTAACTCTGAGAACTGTTCTGAGTATAGAAACCTCCAAGGGATGGATCCTCTATCAAATGGATGTCAATAATGCATTCCTACAAGGGGATCTTTATCAAGAAGTATACATGGCCTTGCCACAGGGTTTCCAATGACAGGGGGAGAACAAAGCTTGCAGACTATTGAAATCACTCTATGGCCTGAAATAGGCTTCAACACAGTGGAACATTAAGCTCACAGATGCATTAGTAGGAGCAGGGTATCAGCAGAGTGCATATGATCATTCTCTATTCACCAAGCAGACAACACATGACATTGTGATTATATTGGTATATGTTGATGATCTCTTGATCACTGGCAGTAACATTTCCCTAGTGGAAGAGGCCAAGAGCACATTGCATAACAGCTTTAAGGTCAAAGATTTGGGAGCGCTCAGATATTTTTTAGGCATTGAAGTGATGAGATCTGACAAAGGGATGTTATTGAACCAGAGGAAGTATGCTCTGGAGTTAATATCCACCACAGGACTGGCTGCTGCTAAACCTGCATCCACTCCCATTGAAATCAATCAGAAACTCACCACTACTGAGGATGACAAACATGTTGGGCACAATGGTGATGAAGAGCTGCAAGATGTGGGCAGTTATCAAAGGCTGGTAGTCCAGTTACTCTACTTGACCACTACACGACCTAACATTTGCTTTGTCGTACAAGTTCTGAGTCAATTCATGCAGCATCCCAAGCAATCACACTTAACTACTATACTTCGAGTGGTCAAATACATTAGAGGATCACCTGGCCTTGGTATCTTTCTCAAGAGGGGTCCTATTACTCATCTTTCTGCCTTCTGTGATTCAGATTGGGCAGCATGCCCAAACACACAAAGGTCCATCACTGGTTATGTTGTCAAGCTAGGGGATTCCTTGTTGTCATGGAAGTCCAGGAAGCAGCAGACAGTGAGTCGAAGCTCAGCTGAAGCTGAATATAAAAGCCTCGCAACAGTAGCAGCTGAAGTTACTTTGCTAGTTGGATTGTTGCAAGAGCTAAACATTAAGATACATCAGCCTGTTGATCTATATTGTGATAGCAAATATGCACTTCAAATAGCAGCAAATCCTATCTTTCATGAAAGGACAAAGCACATCGAGATAGACTGTCACCTTGTTCGAGAGAAGATTAAGAATGGCTTGCTCTCTCCTCATCATATTTCAACCAAACTCCAGTTGGCTGATCTTATGACAAAAGGCCTTGGTGTTGCTCAGCATTCCTTCCTTCTTTCCAAGCTAGGAGTGTTCAATGCTTTCCACCCTCCAGCTTGAGGGGGAGTCTTGGGATATAGGGTTAAAGTGTATATAGCAAAAGTATAAGGGTGTACAAATTAGTTAAGAATGGTTAGTCTGTTAAAGTAGTTACTTGACAGCTGTACAATAGCTGTCATTTAGTTAGTGGAGCCTCTATATAGCATAGTATGTAAGGGAGCCTCTCAGACTTGAGCAATAATATTTCAGTTCTTCTTCTTATTCATTCTCAATCTCCTTCCTCACAATCTTATCAATTTTGTACATGTAGGAAATCCAAATAATATCTCTCCACCACCCATCCCAAAAAGGAAGGAAAAAAAAAAAAGAAATCCCTTGTAATTTCTAGGGTCTATTTGAAAATCCACCAGGTATTGAAATTGGTGTAATTACTAAGCTAATAATTACACAGTCTAGTAATTACACAGTATTATAACTACGACGATCTATTTGTTTCTATAATGTAATTATAGTGTAATTACAAGCGTATTGTTTGGTTGCACAAATTACACAGTTAGATTAAATTTTAAATTAAGTAATTATCAAAACTTAAAAGTTAATATAATATATATATNTATATATATATATATATATATATATATATATATATATATATATATATATATATATATATATATATATATGCCTATGAATAATTTTATATAAGCATAAATGATATTAGATTTGGTATTTAAGATACATATTTTTTCTCGAATATCAATTAATTAGTCATCATAAATTTATTACTAATATTGTAAAAATAATTGATATATATTTTTTAAATTAATAATATTTAGTTTAATTAGTTATAAAGTCAAGAACATACGTCTTGTAAGAACATCATGGAATGCATGTTTGATAGAATAAATTAATATTTATAAATATAATGTCATAACATTATTCAAATATTTGACAAAACTAATATATCAATTCTAACTAAAAAAATGAATGACATGCAATGTGGAATAACAAGCCAATACTGCTAAAACAAGTAAAGCGGAACCATAAATATAACACAAAAAAAAACATATGTCAAATTCCAACATAATAAAAATAAGTTCCAATACAACTTAAGATTAAGAAACATAATAAGTTTATAACCTTATTCAACAACGAAATTCCACTTTAATGACAAAACTCATTATATGCCAAGTTTGTTAATGACTCGTTATTTCTAATATCAAAAACTAGAATAATAACGCAATTACACTAAATGAAGAAATAAAACAAATAAAAAATAAAATATACAAGCAATTACATGAAATCACAAGAAGTAAAGGTAGAGAAATACAGATAAATAATGTACAAAGAAAAATATATTTAAAATTAAAAAAGAAATTAAAAAGTAAAAATAAAAAATAAGAATTCAAAATAATAGAAATAAAAAGTTATAAAGAAAATAAATTTTTAAAAAAAGGAAAGAAATTAAAAAATAACCTTGGAATTACACAGTGTAATTACGACCAATTCTCACATCCCCTATAGAATTGGAGAGTGTAATTACACATCTCCAATTACACCAATTCCATGCTGACTAAGTAATTACTTGCCCAGACAAACATTCAAAACTGTATAATTACATCCAAATACACCCAAATCCAATTTCTAAGTGGCTTCTAAACATGCTCCTATTTGAGATCGGTAATCCAATGATCAAAGGATATTCTGTTTCCACTGTATAACGTACATTTTATTTCAAGATCATTTAGAACTTTTAGGTGGAATTTACTTTAGTATGCAAAAATTCCTAAATTTGACTACGACCTTCGGCAAATGATTTCTATAAGGGATGCCACATTGACATTTCAAAATGCATTTATGCGAATGTATAAGGTGGAGGGTAGTATTAGAAGAATTAACCTAAATAGCCGCTCACTCGATCAGTGAATACATACTATATATATAATCCATGTATAATATGTGTATAACCATATATAATCGGCATGTAATCTATGTATACCGATTAGAAAAAATAAACTGTAAATCTGACCGGCTATTTGTGGAAAGATCCCGCAATATTATGCAGAAAAGTATTGTAACAGCAGTGCCATCAAACATTTGCTGCTGCACTTGAGGTGATGAATTACCACTTTTCATACAATATGGCAAAACATCTGCAATACAGAGTAGATATTATCCAGGCTTAAATTACATTTGGCTACAAAAAGATCACAAGAACACATTACAAGGTGGAAAAAGAAAAGAAAGCCTAGAGACCCTTATGAACTCCCATTTGAGTGCTGTGATTGTATGATCACTCTCAATCGACCATAAGCCTGTAGACAGGCGTAAGAATACTCGGACATGGCTCGGAAGAGCTCAGGCAACCGGATCTTAAGACTCCCTAATGACTTCTCCCTAACTTGAATACAGTGCTTCTGGTGCGCTTCTGTCTCCTCGTCCAACCTCTTCTTCAATGCATCCACAAGAAATTGCTTTTCTGCAACAGGATCTTTAGGATTAGACTCTGTAGCTCTATCAGGATCTGCCACATCGGGTGGAGTTCTACGTTGCATATACTTTTGGTACCAATCTTCAAATGCTTGCCTTTTGCGTATGTATTCTTTTCTAGTTTCCTCACACTTCTCCTTCAGCTTCATCTCTTCCTCCTGATGAATAATGATGGTCCTTATCACAGCTTCAAAAGAAGCAATGGCACTTTTGGCAATCTCATCGGGAAGCTTCTCAAGAAGCTCCTGCCAAGAATGGAGAAGGGCTTGAATTGGGGGATTCTGTGCTCGAGGAGGCGACGAGATTTTTTCTTTTAGGCTGCTCTCAATGGGTATGAGATTTAGCTTCAACCAGCTGTGAAGTGTTTGGATGTATAGTTTTTGATTTTTTACAAGGTTGTCAAAATGATCATGCCATTCCTTGACAACATTACCAAGCTGGATTGTGCGTTCATGATGGTGTTTGCTTGTTTCTAATGGGAATCCAGAGATTTCAATGGCTTTGAGATCAGTAGCCATCTCCAGCTGGTTTTTGTGATGACTTAACATGAATTCCGACATGTTAACCATCCTGCAAAGCAGAAGCAAAAGCTGATTTTCATAGAATGTAGTATCAAACAGAGATTGCAACTTCGATTACATTGCAATTCCACGAGGGGGAAAGAAAAGCAAGCAGAAAATCATCTAAAGAGCACTTGCACTCATTATTAGCACAGGACATTGTAGGGGATGTAATAAATCAAGAATTAACAAAAAACAGTCACTTAGAGTTAAGGCAATATTAGAATGCTTGCAGGCACAGAACTCCATTCCCAGCCAAATATTGAATTAAAAATCTTGAAACATACAGATGATAGGAAATCCATGTGTTTCTTAAAATCAGTAACCAGCATCAGGAATGCCTCAAAGGATATGTATGCTAATGCGCTACTCATCTCTGAGGATAAAAGGGAGAAGACCTCTTGCTAAAATATCATAAAGTAATACTCCCTCCGTTCCAATTTATGTGAACCTGTTTGACTAGGCACGGAGTTTAAGAAAAAATGAAGACTTTTGGAATTTGTGGTCATAAACAAGTCAAAAAGGGCCCCAAAGTATTTGTGTGGTTATAAAAGCTTCTCATTAAGGGTAGAATTGGAAGTTTAAGCTAAGTAGTTTCTAAATTTAGAAAGAGGTCATTCTTTTTGAACGGATCAAAAAGGAAATAGGTTCACATAAACTGGAAGGGAGGGAGTATAGCTTAAGAACAATACGGGGATCCATTTCCAAAGTTTACCTCAACTATGAAATTTTACATAAGCATGCTTTTAATAAAGGTTTTAAGCCAAAAAAGTAAGAATCAAAAGCTTTAAAAAAAAAAGAAAAAACCTTATTTACTAGGCTGAAGCGAGGAAAAAGTCTGCACAAAGCAAAACCATATGAATCAATATTACTAACATGAGGCAGGTCAAGGACTCACGTATACTAATATTGGTTTGGTTCTCCAGTAATCCACAAATAGAACAATTGTTCCACAAACACAAACTTTCTGAGATTCGTAAATGAATTGGTGGACCAATTAGAACAGCAGAAAAGAAGAGATTGCCAAATGGTTGGGGGTGTAAAACAGGTATAGGGTAGATATCTAGACAAACTTCTTACCTGTGGTAGGAACTTCAAGATTACTTATAATTTTTTTTCTACTCAATTAGCAAAGTTATCTATCATTTGTGTTCATATCTTACAGTGTGTATATAAAATCATGCTCCTTCATTCTTTACTCAATTAGACGCCCACCTGTGGCCCGCCTGGGAAAAAACCTTGCTACCTGAGGCATAAGATGAATGTCCAGACATTGTTTTCTGGACTACCTCAAAATATTCCCCATGTTTTTCCACCGCATTCAATTAATACCTCAAAAGGGTCACCGGTTACCTACAGAAACCCCAGGCCACCCTTCTTGAGTAGATATAAAAACATGCACATTTTAACTCTCATTTTAATGCTACTATCAGATATAACAAGCTCGAGGGAGAAGCAATAAAGTTGGAGACCCTTGGTGTGGACTGGAGAAATAAAAATGGGAAAGAGATTGTGGACTCCAAAGCTCAATGCCTTGCCATCTTTTTTTGGTGTAGGAGGGTATACTTTGGGGCTCAACTACTCCAGTAATCAACTAGATGTGATTCATAGGAAAAAGTACAACTAGCTTATTCCCACTTTAGTTTTCTGAATCAGCTTAAGCTGTGCTTATTCAAATTTTGATTGTCGACTTGTAATAATATACAATTCATTAATTCTAAAACCACTTGCATACTATCTAGTCAGAACCAGATGGAGCAATTGTACAGTGAGGATTCATATAGCCGGGTAATCTTTTTTTCTTTTTTTTTTGGATATGTTATATAGCCCGGGTAATTTCTTCGATCTTCAAAAAGATATCTAGTATTAAGAATTTCTTCTTAGGAGTTTAGTTTGTAAGACCATTGTTCCTCCGAGGAAGACTTCCGGAGCAAATTTTCCGATAAAAATAAAAAGAAGAGTATCTAAATGTCGGAAAAACTAACTGTTACTTTGGTAGTTAAATAGTTACATGTAAATAACCCTAATCCCATATGTAGTAGGAGTAGAACATGTATTATATATATATAGGACTCATTGTATCATTGTCAAAAAAATCAATAACATAACTTTTCAGTGTATTATTTCTCACATGGTATCAGAGTGTGAGTAGGACACATCCGAAAAAGCTGGACAGTTGTCGTGCGTCAAATTCCGGCGACTTTCTAGGGCTGATTTGCGTCAGATCAGTCTCTGTTGGTGTTGTGTGAAAACCAACACTACCACAGGGTCCCCAAGCCTTCCGCGACCAAACCCCACAAAAGATCTCCGGCAACCGACCTCTCACGCGCCCTCACGCGCTGATCAGAGGTCAGAAACTCCAGCGACTGCTTCTCCACGCGCCAGCGCGTGTGGCCTTTTTCCAGCCAGATTTCGTTTTCTTCAGACAACTTGTTCGTGAGGCTTTTCCGAGCCTACCAATCCAAGTTTCACCCAAATCCGACGACTTTTTATTTTCCGGCGAAAGACATTTTAGATTCCGGCAACTATTTCTGATTTTTCCCGCAAAATTATCCAGATTTCGGTATCTTCTATTATTTGCTGATTTTTTGCTAGCCCTCTCTTCAATCCAACCATGTCTCTCGGACTTGATGTTTTTGGGTCTAAAAACACGGGTTCTGGAAGTTCCGGTATTATGATTACCTCAGAACCTTTAATGGGAAGTTCAAACTACTTAAGCTTGGGCTTCGTGTGTCGAATTGTGGTGTAAAGGTCAAGGCGTTCAAGATCATTTAACAAAAAAGGGCTAGCGAAGGAGATGAAAAGGCCAAAGCACTTTGGGAGAAGGTCAACGCTCAGTTATGTAGTATCTTGTGGCGATCTATTGATTCCAAGTTGTGCCCTTGTTCCGGCCATTTCAGACATGTTATTTAGTTTGGGAAAAGGCTCGTACTTTATACACTAATGATATATCTCGTTTCTATGATGTGATATCGTGAATGACAAGTTTAACGAAACAGAAATCGGATATGTCTACTTACTTGGGACAAGTACAGGCAGTCATGGAAAAATTTGAGAAGTTGATGCCAGTTTCTGCTAGTATTGAAAAGCAACAAGAGCAACGTCAGAAGATGTTTCTAGTTCTTACACTCGTTGGACTTCCTAATGACCTTGATTCAGTTCGTGACCAAATTTTGGCTAGTCCGACTGTCCCTACAGTTGAATTATTCTCTCGATTACTTCGCCTTGCTGCAACACCAAGTCACCCAGTGATCTCATCACGGACACTTGACTCCTGTGTTCTCGCATCCCAGACAATGGAAAATCGGGCATCTCAAACTATGGAGAATAGACGAGGAGGAGGTCATTTTGGAAGATCTAGACCTAAGTGTTCTTATTGTCATAAACTTGGACACACTCGTGAAGTGTGCTATTCTTTACATGGTCGACCACCCAAAAATGCTTATGCTGCTCAGACTGAGACTACAGGTAACCAGGGATTTTCTTTATCTGAAGGGGAATATAATGAGTTCCTTCAGTATCGAGCAAGTAAGCAGACATCTCCACAAGTAGCATCTATTGCTGGTAATTCTTTTACTTGTGTTTCCCAATCTAGTACTCTTGGACCATGGGTCGTGGACTCAGGCGCTTCTGATCATATCTCTGGTAATAAATCACTTTTGTCAAATATTGTGTATTCACCACTGTTACTTTAGCCAATGGGTTTCAAACTAAAGCAAAAGTTGTTGGACAAGCTAATCCCCTACCTTCTGTCACTCTAGATTCTGTTCTGTATGTCCCTGACTGTCCTTTTAGTCTTGCATCTGTTAGTCGTTTGACTCGTGCCACCATTGTGGTATATATTTTATTGATGATTCTTTTATTATGTAGGACCGCAGTACGGGACATATGATTGGCACAGGGCTTGAATCAAAAGGCCTTTACTACCGTAACTCACTCAATCCCTCCAAGGCATGTCTAGTTTACAGATCCTCCGGACCTAATTCACAGATGTTTAGGATATCCAAATTTATCCAAGCATCAGAAGATGGTGCCTAGCTTGTCTAGTTTATCTACATTAGATTGTGAGTCATGTCAGCTAGGGAAATATACCCGAGCCTCCTTTCCTTGTAGTATTGAGAGTCATGCAAAGCCTGTTATTTCTTTAGTTCATTCTGATATATGGGGTCCTAGTAGAGTCAGTTCAACCTTGGGATTTCGCTATTTTGTTAGTTTCATTGATGATTATTCAAGATGTACTTGGCTTTCTTAATGAAAGATCGTTTTGAGTTGTTTCTATATTCCAGACTTTTTGTGCTGAAATAAAAAATCAATTTGGTGTTTCTGTTCGCACTTTTCGCAGTGATAATGCCTTAGAATATTTATCCTCTCAATTTCAGCAGTTTATGACTTCTCAAGGAATTATTCATCAGACTTCTTATCCATATACCCCTCAGCAAAATGGGGTTGCTGAGAGAAAGAATAGGCACCTCACTGAGACTGCTCGCACATTTCTCATTGAATCTCATGTTCCGTTGCGTTTTTGGGGAGATGCAGTTCTCACAGCTTGTTATTTGATTCATCGGATGCCTTCTTCTCCCATCCAGAATCAGATTCCGTATTAAGTATTGTTTCCCCAGTAACCCTTATACTCTCTTCCCCCTCGTGTTTTGGGGAGCACTTGTTTCGTTCATAACTTAGCCCTTGGGAAAGATAAGTTAGCTCCTCGTGCTATTAGGTGTGTCTTCCTTGGTTATTCTCGTGTTCAGAAGGGATACCGTTGTTACTCACCTGATCTTCGTAGGAGCCTTATGTCAGCTGACGTCACATCTTTTGAGTCTAAACCTTTCTTTACCTCTTCTGACCACCTTGATATATCTGAGGTCTTACCTATACCGATCTTTGAGGAGGTTCCTATAGCTCCTTCTTCACCTTCCGTCCTTGTATGTCGCTTACGCCGGTCACTTCATGGTCTAAAGCAGTCTCCTCGAGCCTGGTTTGGTAAGTTCAGCACAGTTATCCAGGAGTTTGGCATAACTCGTAGTGAAGCTGATCACTCTATGTTTTATCGGCATTCTGCTTCAAGTCTCTGTATTTATCTGGTGGTCTATGTTGACGATATTGTTATTACCGGAAGTGATCAGGATGGTATTACTAAAATTGAAACAACATCTCTTTCAACACTTTCAGACGAAGTATCTGGGCAGACTAAAGTATTTTCTGGGTGTTGAGGTCGCTCAGTCTAGCTCAGGTATTGTGATCTCACAACGGAAGTATGCCTTAGGCATTCTTGAGGAGACAGGAATGACAGGTTGTAGACCAATTGACACTCTGATGGATCCGAATTCTAAATTTCTACCAGGACAGGGGGAGCTTCTTAGCGATCCTGCAAGATATAGGCGGCTGGTTGGTAAATTAAATTATCTCACAGTGACTAGACCTGAAATTTCCTTTCTTGTAAGCGTTGTAAGTCAGTTTATGGATTCTCCCTGTGATAGTCATTGGGATGCAGTTGTCCACATTCTTCGGTATATAAAATCGGCTCCAGGCAAAGGGTTATTGTTTGAGGATCGAGGGCATGAGCAGATCGTTGGGCACTCAGATGCTGATTGGGCAGGATCACCTTCTGATAGACGTTCTACGTTTGGATATTGTGTTTTAGTAGGAGGCAATTTGGTGTCTTGGAAGAGCAAGAAACAGAATGTAGTTGCTCGGTCTAGTGCAGAAGCAGAATATCGAGCAATGGCTATGGCAACATGTGAGCTAATTTGGATCAAACAATTGCCCAAGGAGGTGAAATTTGGTGAAATCAGTCAGATGTAACTTGTGTGCGATAATCAAGCTGCCCTTCATATTGTATCAAATCCAGTGTTCCATGAGAGGACTAAACACATTGAAATTGATTGTCACTTCGTCAGAGATAAGATACTCTCAAGAGATATTGCTACAAATTTGTGAAGTCGAATGATCAGCTTGCTCATATTTTCACCAAGTCCCTCACTGGTCCTCGTGTTAGTTATATATGTAACAAGCTCGGTACATATGATTTATAAGCACCGGCTTGAGGGAGTGTTAGTTTGGTAGTTAAATAGTTACATGTAAATAACCCTAATCCCATATGTAGTAGGAGTAAAACATGTATTATATATATATATATATATATATATATATATATATATATATATATATATGACTCATTGTATCATTGTCAAAAAAATCAATAAACATAACTTTTCGGTGTATTATTTCTCACACTAACACTTTTAAACCATCACTCAAGTCTAAGGTTTCACTTAAAAGTAAGCCTTTCAAATGGTTGGTGACTGGACAGGAGTTTCACTTAAAAAATTAACTTAGATACTTTACACCTATTACACAAATTTTGTTAAACAATCACAGTTCCCAATGACTTGCAACTCAGAACACTGACTTCTAAATCGTGTGGAATAGACACAGCTTCTAAATATAATAATCCGCTATAAAAGAAAATCTAGGTGCAATAGCAGTTGCAGATAACAACTAACAATATGACTAGTCAAGCAGAAAGGATGGCCACCTGAAAGACATATATTAACAAATATAGTTTTCATCATGGAGGTAAGCCACACAAAACTTACCCTTGAACAAGAGCAGCCAGCTTGGGATACAACTGCTTGTCACGGATGTCATTTACTTCAGAAACTGTGGAATCCAAGGACTGCATATCAACTATATATCGCGTATGCAAATGGCTAACAGCAGCCTTTGTCTTCTCCAGTGATTCCAAGCTAGCATTTCGTTTCTTCAGCTTGTTTAGCAAAGCAACTTTCCTCTGATATTCATGTTTTATAAGCTCACCAGCCTATTGAAACCAAACAAAATAACATTTTCGTAAACCATCAGCCTATTGGATAATAGGAAAAATACGGCCAAATAATAAAGGTCAATACAAGGCAAAAACCACCAGCTAAGTTAGCTCGGACACGGGTGCGGGTGTCCGACACGGGTGTGGATCTAGAGGTCGGATCCTTCGAGATGTAAATTATAAGATTTGGGGATACGTATCCTAGTATGGATACAGGTGCTGGGATCCGGCTAAAAATAATTCAAAAAATAAAAATATAAAAATATCTCTAAATTATGAGAAATGTTGCGAATACTTACGTATAGCTTGTAAAGTGTGAATTTCTTTTTTATTCTCAAATAGCATATCAGTAAAGGATTGATTTCCTAGATAACTTATGCTATTTTCTTCAAATTTACCCTAGTTTTGGTTCTGATTTCGGGAACCAAATTGTATCTCATCTTGAATTTTTCTGTCCGTCGCGGTCAAAGTATCCAAAATTGTTAGACCAAATCCAGTATGGATCCCATACCCACACCCATACTAATGGCATGTCGACATGGGTGCGGCACCTAAACTGCCGTGTCGGAGCAATTTAGACCACCAGAGAAGGCCATACCGAAACTTCAATACATAAGGGAAGGATCAACTACACATAGAAACAGAATGGGAATTGAGATGCATGATTTGCTACTAGCCATGTCCTGAGTAGCTTGGACGATGAACCAAGTATAATGGTGTTCGACACAGACACTGAGACAAACTAAGAGTTGGAAAACTGGGGGGGGGGGGGGGGGGGGGCAGAGTACATATGAAGAAGGTATCAATTGCATGGATATCAAGCTCTCTGCTCTTGCTGCAAGTGAAAGAGTCTGGGTGGACTTCACCCTTTAAATGTCAAGGGGCTGAGCCACTCCAAGCAGAAAGCAATAGTGAATCCCTCAACTGCACCAGCCACCCCTTTCAGAATTTCTAAACCAGATGGAGATAGCAGGGTTTGAGTTGTCTACAGACTCCAAACGGGATCTCAGTCACACGTTTCATTTGCTACACAGACTCCGTATTAATTATCTTTTAAATTTCTATGCTGATATCCCCTTAATGGAAATGCATGTACAGGTAGGACCTGATATGAATTAAGATTTGGTGTCCATGCTTCCTGGTACTTATCTCATAAATCAATCATAAACCAAACATAAAATCCAAGATTTTTACCAAGAGAAAGCAAAGGGACAAGAAGAAGCACTAAGCACCTTCATTTCATCATAAAGTTTCTTCTCCCACGCCAGCAATTTGTCCAAAACAGTGGCATGCGTCTCATATTCATCAATGTCATACTCATCCTTAGTAGCATCACCATTAGGTGCACCCTTAAATGATTTGTTCCACGTAATGACTCGCATCACCCTAGCTGCGTGGTCAATATGTCCTGCAAAAAAAAAAAAAAAGGAAGATTCATTATTAACATCCAAGAAGATCTACAACCTTGTTGCTTCAGTTTTTTGCTGTTAAAGTACTGGGATCATATAACTTAACTGTATGAAAAAGGACTCCTTGTTGTTTCTCATAGTTCAAAGTAGAGCAGTTATGATAAACAAGCTAGCCAAACAAAGGAACAGAAAGCCTAATTCGGCCCAGCATCATAGGTATTAATGTGACTCCTTTTTTTGTGGGGGTGGGGGTAACAAAATGAGATAAAACTAATTTCAAGTCTCCAGCAAGCTAAATACAGACCAAAGCAGCAATTACAGAGGCAGAGGTGTAAAACTGCCATTCATATCATATTCCCCATTTCCTCATTGAATAGCAATAAAAACATAACTTTCCAAGAATTTATGTAAAGGAAACCTCTGCAGTGCTTAAAAGGTTTGACCTTTAGCAGTCAAAATCTGAAAGACATGAAGAATAGGGGAATTTTATCCATTCTAAACATCAAAAATTACCTCGATTATCAGCAAAGTTAGAGTGGTAATGCAATCGAGTAGCCTCAAGCATCTTAGAAACCTCTTGTGCATTCTCAGAAGCTTTAAGGAAATGATCATCAATTTCACCTAAAACTTTAAAGAAATCAGCATTATTATTATTATTGTTGTTACCATACCCTACAACATTCCCACCAACTCCCAGTACTCCCCCTCTTATCTCAGGTGGCGCAGTGTTTGAATGCTTAAACACTCTCTCTGTACTATCCTCCGCCCTCACCGGGGTCTCCTCTTCAACCTCACTCAGAATCTCTACTTTCCCCTTCTTCTCCGGCGTCTTAAACTGATCATCCTTGTACTGATTCATACCCACATTATCAAATCTTTTGTCTTGAATTTCGTTATTCTGTTCGTTAAATGCTTCCTCCTCCTGATCTTCTTCTTCTTCCTCCACTTCCTCTAAATGTCCATGAATGTTATCCACATTAAAGAAATAATCCCACGCCTCCCCTGGTGGGGCCGGGGGAGGCGGGGGTGGGGTTGGCTCCTCCTTCATTATTGGTGTCTCACGCGCTGCCACATTTCGCTTTACTCTTAATTTCAAATCAACTTCCTCTTCTTCTTCCTCTTCCTCCTCAATTTCCTCATCAATAGCAATACCTTTCATTTTTCCACCTCTAGGTTTCGAAAGCTCGGGCATAGTCATGGAGCGTTGAAGAGGTGAGAAAGCTGGTGGAGGAGGAGGGGGTGGTGGGAGAGGACTGGCTTCCATAGTCGGCGGAGGAGGAGGTGGAGGCGGCTCGTTAACGACCGGCGGCGGGGCAGGTGGGGTTTCGCCTTGAGCATAGTCGCTTAAAGCAGCACCGGTGTTTTTTAAAGCCATGGAATAAGCTGAATGTGCAGCTGCAAAGAAGTTGCGGTAGTTTACAGCTTCTTTCATGAGGTTTCTTCGTTCTTTGCATCTTGATACTGACTCTTCGTTATCTAATCTTGATTGAGCACACCCCATTTTTCCACTGTTTTAGCTCTTCTAGTGGTGGATTTGAGGAAATGGGGTTGAGATTTAGAAAGAGATGGAGATGAAAAGAGAGAGAAAAAGATGAGAGAAAAGTGAAAAGGACAAAAATGTGAGCAGAGGAGAGAAGAGGTGGGGAAACACTGAGAAGAGAGTGTACTGTAGATGGTACAGGGAAGAGAGAGAGGGAGGGAGGTGGTAAGTACGCGCCGCTGGATGGGGGTATTTCTAATTTTGAAAAATACACCTAGGACTAACGGTCACATTTCTCGAGGTGCTTAACGGCGTCGTTATGAGCTAATTAGAAAATTAAGCCAGTAAGCTAATTTCCTTTCTATTCTTGCGTTACTAGTATAGCCTGGCACGATGAGCGAAAAATTTAAATCTTGTGTGATCTAATTTGTTTGTTCATATTATATTATATTACTTGAGTTAAATTTTAATTTCTTTTTTTTATCTAGTGAAATATGTCCAATAAAAAAATCGCATGAAATTAGAAAAAATATTATATGGTCAGAGAATAATTTTTCAGTTTCTTACTTTTCTTTATTACATAATCTATTATATTTAGTATTATTTTATTTGTTATTATGTTATTTTATTAGCTTATACTTGACTTAATATTTTTGTTAATTCTCTCTTTTAATTTAATATAGATATAAATACATATTTTTCTTACTCCTAAAATATTTTTATGAAACTTTTTTTCATTGTACATCTTATTTGAATTCGTCCAAAATATAAATTAATTTTAGCTTTCAAAATCTCAAAATGATATAATCTACTGAAAATATTAAAGATTGTGTATTTTAGCTTTCAATTTCAAATACACTCTTAACATTACAAATTATCTATACAAATCTATAATATAGATATAGAATAGATTTTATCATAAAATCTAGTTAAATTCTGTCTTTAAAGTGCGAAATATCATTATCGCTATATGACACTTGGCTTGATCTCATGCTTCACTATTATTCTTTTAATATAATATATAAGTTATATTATGTGTTGGCAACTTTTCAATTTAAAATAGAATAGGTTTTAGAATAAATAATTTTCAATATATAAAAATTATTGTTTTTGTAAAAAAAAGTTAAGTATATTTAAATTTAAATTCAAAAAGACTAATGAATTATTAACAATACATAATGTATAATATAATTTTTTTAAGAAAAAATTAAATTCAAAAAGAAACTAGTAATATCTACCTAACCTTACTAAATTTGTCCTAAATTGCCAAGTGGCATATTGTGAGACCGTCACTTGGCTTAATATGGTGGCTTTGCCTCTCCTTTTATTATATATGGATATGGATTATGGATTATTATACTTGTATCGAGGATAGAAATACATGCATCAAATTTATTCCTAAAATCGAATATTCAGCATAAAGTTATTTATTATAATATGAGCTATTTTAACTAATTATAGTTTAGCATTCATTATATTCTAGTCTAATTCTATTGTGAATTTTAAAGTGCATCATTCTATTTGAAGTTTTGTTAATTCTCATATAACATTATGCACAGCGTATGTAAAAAAAAAAAAAAAAAAAAAAACATATGTGTTATTTAACGGTTATGGATAAATAATAATGTAAAATAATAAGGCAGAAATAGCCTAAATGACACTTATATTTGTGTCACTTTGTCATCCCGGTCCCTAAACTTAGCATTTTGCCAATTGGACACTTATACTCGCTCAAACCATGTATAATAAATGCTTATGACAGGAGGCTGTCAGTGCGTGTAATACAATCTCCTACACGTAGGATGCCACGTCATTACTAGTGCCACATAGAAAAATAAACTATTGACTTTATCTTCATTTTTTTCCCTACCCCACCATCTCTTCTCCTTACCGCCAACAACTCTAATACTGCCATCGCCGGAAAATTTCTCCAGCCACCGGAGAATATCATTAAAATCCGGAGATCACTAAAAGATAAATAAATAAAAAAGTGTTCTTACACAAAGAATTTCACCCCACCGAGGTCTTTCCCCTTCCCAATTTTTTTCTCTTTTTTCACACCCCCCCCCCCCCCGCCCTTTCCCCACAATCAACCTATCTCTTCTTCCGCCTCTCCAATTTTCTTTTCTGTCTATCCCTTTCTCCTCTCCCTTGTCTCTTCCGTTAGCCTCAAAACACAAGAATATATGTAGCAATAGAGAAATTTTTTTTGTCAAAAATAAAGTTTCAGATTTGGGGTTTTATAACATGATGGATTTTCTGGTGGCTTGATTTAGGAGATGGGATTTTGATTTTTTTACTGATTTGAAGGTTCTTGTTTACTGATTTAAAGGTCTACTATACAGAGGATGGGGTTTTGACATTATTTTTCGGAAAGGAAGAAAAAGAGTAAAATGAGGAGGGGTCGCTATGGATTTTTCGGTCGTTTTCCAAGGATCGTTCTCGCCAATGTTTTTTTTTTCTTTTTCTTTTTTTAGGGTCAAGATCTGAAGGTATCATACAGAGAATTTTAGAAATGGGAGATGTGGTTTGGGGAGGGTATAGGGTGGGGGGGGGGGAGGGGGGGGAGGAAAGAGAAAAAGAAATAGAAATGGAGGGGTTTTGGGGAAGACGGGAAGGGGGTTAGTTTACTTTTTTTTTTTCATTTTATTATTTTTTTCTTCTTAGGCCAATTTTTTATGTTAACGCTCGTTGTACGCGTGAATTACACGCTTGTTGTCCAACTCAGCCATAATGTTGCCACATATGATCGGTCAACGGTCAGAGGAGTTTAAAATATAAGTTTTGAGCGAGTATAAGTGTCCAATTGGTAAAATGCTAAATTTGGGGACCGGGATGACAAAGTGGCACAAGTATAAGTGCCATTTAGGCTATTCTGCCAAATAATAATAAAAGTTTTTTGTGTATACTTGTACTCCATAATTAGCAATATTATCTTCAATAAGATTGTCCTTTAAAGTTGGGGAAAGTTTTAGCTTTTTGAAAATTTTAGTTTTTTTTTTTAGTTGAAAATTTTACTTTACATAATCCAAAAAAGAGGTATAATAACGCCGTGCCATAAAGTTTTTCTATCGTCAAGTCTAACGGTAGCTATTATTTACCTTTTGGTTGAATATTCTATTGGTTAAAAAAACATCTTACGATGGGAAATTAAAAGGGTTTTAACTTATGAAAAAAAACAGTTTGTTGTATTAGAAAGGTGAATATTACAATTTTAGAATAACCTAATAAAGATATGATAATTACTTTAACAAAGAATGAGTATTTTATTTCTGAATGTGAAATAAAATGAAAGAATCTTATTGCACATTTTTACGTATTTTATAACGAGATTTTCTACTTTATAAATAAAAATCTAATGTAATTTCTGATGTATCTTTTGCGATAGACAGAATGAATTCAATTGGATTTACCTTAGTATATTAATCAAGTTAACTATTGAAAAACGGTATAAACAAGCAAAATGAAATGGATATAGTAGATAGTAGGATACATTGGCACATCATGTTAAATTTCAATTTCAAGGGGTTATAAGTCCCTTGGAGGTTTCTTGAATTCTTTTGTGAAGCAGTCACGTACTCACATTCTTTATGAAAATTCATTTGAGATCTTGATATTCAATTTTTCTTAAGAACGTCTTTTTAGTTAAGTTTTCAACTAAATCCCAAGTCTGGTGGACAATGAATATATTGACATAACATTTTTTCCCTAGGAATAGTAGAATTACTTCTGCAAAACAAAAGTTCATTATATTACAGTAATTAAAAGTATTGTTTTAGCATAATAAGAACCAATATTAAACATATATTCCACAATTTACCAAGTAGTTAAACAGAATATGCAATTCAAAATATATTAAAGTAGGTAAATAGGTAAGTATGGATCAGCAAGCTAAATCACTTTTCGCAGCGGTTCTCTATTCAGGAAACAAATATTCTGAAATAGCTGGTGCTGATGGTAAAGAAAAGATTAATGTTAACGTTGTTAGAATGCGAAAAGCTAATTAAACCTTGGCTACAGATTGACTAGCATAAGTTTTTCACTTAAATGGTGGTGTTTGGGACTTGCGGCACCAACTTTTTTCGTCATGTAGATGGTAACTCTACACGCTAATATAGAGACGGGTTTAGAATTTTAATTTAATAAGTTTATTTTTTATGGTTTGCCATTAAATTTATTGTACTTTTAAAATTATCGGTTTAAAACATCAACAATATATTTCTACAATATGGGGCCTAGTGAGGATAACGTGAACCAGTAGCTTGGTAGCTACATTCGTCAGTGCAGAAATACTTAGCTAGCGTTTGGATATAAATTTGCTTGAAACTTGAAAAAAGATTTTTTGAAGTTGTTTTGAAAAATAAATTTTGAAAAAGAAATTTTGAAAGTTGAAGTTTATTTGAATATGCATTTTATTTAAAGAAAAGTTTAAGTTTTGTGAGTGGGAAAAAAAATCGCCCAAAAACTGTCTTTTTCCCCAAAACATGATCATATTTCATAAATAAACATTATTTTCAAAAAATTTATGAAAAAATTAAGCCAAAATCTATGGCCAAACGGAAGTCTAGAAAGGTGGGAAAAAATCATTTGATAGTATTTTTTGTCTCTATTGAAATTTGAACCGTAATTTTCAAAAATTATATCTACTTCATTGATCACTAGTCACACCCTTGATCATCGGTGCAAATTGAGTACCATAACTTAGAGAGTGCAATTACATGTGATACCATTATTTTAGGAAGTCAAAATCGTTAACCTACTTGTAGTAGATTCTAACAAACTTTTTTGAATGATAGGTAGGTAAAATTAAAAAAGTCAAATTCCAATCACTTACGTACAAATGAACATTGAGCTCAACAGTACTATTTTCGAGAGTCCATAACACAAGATATGTCCCTCATATATGACTTATGGAGTAAATGAAAACACTCCCTAGTCTCTAATATGTCCGAAATAAGAAAGAAAAACCTCCAACTTTATAGTGGGGGCCTAACAAATCTATCTACTCTGATTGTCGACATGACAAAATAAAGACTCTGACCAAACATCTTTAATTTTTCTTTTCATTTTCTTTCCTTAGCCACTGATAATGGAAAATTATGCTGTTGTGAGGTCGATTGAATTGAACTCTCCACCAAAAAAAAAAAAAAGGAAAAATAATAGAGAGCTAGCTTTGCACATGACAATTGGATGATCTAAGTTGGTTAAGGTAACATAAGCAATTT